AAACGGTGTGTCAAGCACTGTTTAAGCACTCCACATGCCATCCACTCATACATTAATCATCACAATAAAATTGCAACTCAGAAACTCTCATCATCTCAATTTTACAGATAAGCGGGCCTGTGATCCAACAATGTAATACAGCACACATCTGTAGTCCAGCACTATGGAGACTGAGTTCCAGGCCAGCCTGGTCCATATACCAAATTCCAGACCAGCCAGGGCTACACAGTGAGACTCGGTCTCAAAAAAAACAAAAGTTTATAACATTGACTATAGTCATACTATACTTGTTTTTTATTTAGGTGTAGGCAATCAAATCCAGGGCCTTACCCATGCTACCACGTATTCTATCACTGAGCTGTATTCCTAGCCTATAACCATAATTTAAAATTCAGCCAGGCTCACATCTGTAATTCCTTCACTTACAAAGGAGAAGTAGGGGGCTAGAGAGATGGCTTGGGACTGACTGCTCTTGCAGAGGACCCAGGTTCAATTCCCAGCACCCATATGGCAGCTAACAACTATCTGCAACTCCAGTTCAGGGGGATCCAACACCCTCTTCTGACCACTGTGGGCACTGCATGACACATATGCACTTACACACAAACAGACAACATACTTATACACATAAAATAAAAAATATTTTTAAAATTAAAAAAAAAAAGCAGAAGTAGGAGTACCATAAGTTTGAGGTCAGCCTGATCTGCAACCTGCATAGCAAGTTCCAGAACATCTGGGGCTACAGAGTAAGACCCAATTTCAATAATGTAAAATAGTCATGGCTGGGGTTGAAGCTCAGTCAGTGATGTAACACTTGCTTAGGGAATGGGAGGTCCTAGGTTCAATTACTAGCACTACCAAAAAAAAGTTAAATACTCACATAATGTGTGTACATACTTAACCATGTTTCCTGATGGAGTGAACACCTGAGGCCACAGCGCTACACTGTTTCCCCAGGGACTTCAGTTCTGGAGTTAAAGCACTAGTCTTAGTACTGAGCTCTTTCCTACTTCTCTTTCACCAAGACTACGGTTAAAAACATTAGTCAGAATACTGGTCTAGCATACACTAGGACCTCTGTTCCCTCAGCACTGAAAAAAAACAAAACAAAAAAACCTGCAGGTAAGCTTCTGGATCAGCACATGGCTAACACTGAATCTCACTAAAAAGAAACCCTCTAGCCAGGCTCATGCCTATAATCCTCCCAGCACTCAGGAAGTAGAGGCAGGAGGAATGACTGCCCTGGGCTAAATACAGTCAGACCCTATGTCAGAAGAAAGTACTGCTTCTGCAAAGGAAAAAGAAAAGTACTCTCTGGGCTTCGGGATGGCTCAGGGGGTAAAAGGTATTTACCGCTAAGACCAAAGACCCGAGTTTGATCCATGGGACTCACGTGGGAAAAGGGAGAACAGACTCCAGCAAGTTATCCTCTGCCCTCCATATATGTGTTGTGGTATATGTTTGCACCCCCACCTACAAAATAAATAAATGTAAAATAAAATTTTTAATTTTCTCAAAACCACTGCATTTCAATGTAATTTATTAAAGTCTTCTGAATTAAAAGAAATAGTAGAGTTGGGTATGGCAGTACACACCTATAATCATAGCATTCAGGTACCTGAGGCAGGATGAAGAGTTAAAAGACAGCCTGGGCTACATAAGGGAGACCTTGTCTCCAAACAAACAAACAAGAAAACAACAACAACAACAAAAAAAAACAACAGGGGCTGGTGAGATGGCTCAGTGTTAAGAGCACTGACTGTTCTTGCACAGGACCCAAGTTCGATTCCCAGCACCCACATGGTGGCTAACAATGGCCCAATTCCAGGGGAATCCAATGCTCTCTTCCGACCTCAGAGGCACAGCATGACATGGGTGCACTTACATACATGCAGGCAATACAAGCATACACATAAAATAAAAAACTAAAACATAATATTAAAAAGGAAACAGAAAAGTAAAAGGGAGAATGATGTAACTTCGTGTAAAACTACTTGCCCAGAAAACACAAAGCTCTCCATTCAGTCCTCAGTCCCAATAAATAAATTAATCAACAAATAAGCACACATATGGGGCCAGAGAGATGGCTCAGCAGTTAAGAATACTGGTTGTTCTTGCAGAAGGCCTGGGTTCGAATCCCAGCACCCACATGGCAGCTAACAACTGTCCATAACTCCAGTCTCAGGGGATCCGACAGGCTCTTCTGACCTCCGCAGGCATTGCACGACATGGGTGCACTTACAGTCAGGCAATACACACATACACATAAAAAAATAATAAATAAAAAAATATTTAAAAAGGAATAAAGCATGGAATAAATGGACAAAACCAAGACCAGAAACCAAAAGAACCCATAAAATTTGGCAATGCATGTCCAGTGTCTGAAGCATGTGGTATCAGGATAAGAGCTCTGGTTCCTTTACAGCCCCACTCTCATGGCTTTTCCAGTGGCAAATTCCAGCTGGTTTAGAATTCACTACAGAGACCAACCTAGACTCCATCTCACAGAGATCCGCCTGCCTCTGTCTCCAGAGTGCTGGGATTAAAGACATAAGTCACCGCTCCCAGCTCTTTCACTGCATCTTTTAGATGCCCAAAGGGATTCTGACTTTGCCACACAATGCTTGTCCTAAAGCTTTCTTTTAAAGTCTGATTAGAAGCCTCTACATCTCTGCTACCTCAAGCACCATGTATGACTCCTATAGCCACATGCAGTTTGAGCAGTACCTAATTTTATGAAATTATTGCCGCCTCATTTTCTGTGTGATTAGGCAGCATAACTCAGACATGAATTTCCACAAATGCCTCAGGGAGACCAGCATGTTCCACTGGCTCTCTTTCTAAGAGAAAGTCCCTGAAATGAGTTTGCAGTTTTATAACATAAAGCCTGTTCTGTGTGGATTTAGACAATGCTGGAGATGCCTTAAAGGAATCTTTCTTAATTCCTGAGTCAAAAATGTTTGGCTTCTTCTTAATGGTGCCAATCTTTATAAAAACCACAGTCTTTTGTCCAAAATTCAATTTCCTTCTTTCCTTGCCAGACTGAATATTTTCCAAATCTTTCTGTTCTGCTTTTTGTTCATGATCTTCATTATAAATCTGACTAAAAATAGCCAACACTCACCACTTTAGAACTTTAATGCTAAGCTGTTTTAAAATCTTCTCAGCCAAATTAATTAGTCCATAACCTTTACATGCTGATCTTCAAGTAGTATCATAACACACACTATATGTAGACAAATTCTTTGCTGGAATGTAACATGTATGTCTTCTAGTCAAATTTGCAATTTTTCATATATTCCAATTTGAAATGTAATGACCTCAGTGGCAGATCACACAGCACAAGGCCCTTGGTTCAATCCCCAATACTGCAATAGATAAATAAATTTAAGTTCAGAAAAAAAACTTTCTTCATTTTATTAATATAGTACACCTCTGTCAGACCTAAGGGTTACCTGTCTGCCTCTATCTGTAAATTCCACAATAACAGCAAGAGCAATAACTGCACACTTGACTAAATGGGTGAATGAATCTATTTTGAATTTCATCAATCCAAGGTGGAATGAGTGCCAAAGGAAAACACCATGCAAATCCTCCCTTTATGTGCAGGACATCCCTCTGGGTCTACAGCCCAGAGTTCTTAATGTCCCTCAGTTTCACCCTCAGCACCACGGTTATATACAAATACCATCCCTCTGGGTCTAGAGCCCAGAGTTCTTAATGTCCCTCAGTTTCACCCTCAGCACCACTGTTATATACAAATACCATCCCTCTGGGTCTAGAGCCCAGAGTTCTTAATGTCCCTCAGTTTCACCCTCAGCACCATGGTTATATACAAATACCATCCCTCTGGGTCTAGAGCACAGAGTACTTAATGTCCCTCAGTTTCACCCTCAGCACCACGGTCATATACAAATACCCATTTTTAAGACTGTCATTGTCTTAAACAAGAGAAAACACACAAAATAGTTTTACCAGTTTCCTCACTTAACTGAGTCCCCTCTCTCAAACTCAAACCCAGAATCTAGTCTGTCTTGTTTGTTGCTCTGTTCTCAAAGCCTATAGTGATACTTTGTACTTAAGAGATGATTTAATAAATATTAAATGAGTCGAATGCAAAATGCCTGGTGCTCAAGTAATGTTGGCTATTATTTCTATTTTAATGACTATTAAATTTTTATTGTTTATATTAAGCGATGCCACCCTTCCCCCAAGAACTTCACAATTCTAGGAAGCACATTAGATAAATGGGATGCCGAAATGAAGGGAAGAATAAAAATACACCTGGATCACAGCGTAGGACTAGCCAAAGACAAAGTATCTTAAAGAAATACACAACCTGACCCCAATTCCGGACTTTGCCAAGTGAGGTGGACACATACTCATAAACCGGGATTACAATAATGAGTTTTCACACTTGTGCATGTGCAATGGTCTGTGCAGTGCGTTCTACGGGGCTCAGAGAACCCAACAACTCCAGGACAATGCAGAAAACGTTCCTCATACTCCATTTTTCAGATGGGGCTACTGAGACTCGGGGAGCGCCAAGGTCACAGCCTGTACATGGGGGAGCCGGGACGTGAGCCCAAGCAGTCCGACTTCCGAGCCTGCACTCAACAGGCCCCTCCGGAACGGCACTCTCGCGTCAACATCTAGCATACAGCTCTCTAAACTCGTGGGAAAAGGCTTCCAGGGACCGGACCTGCCGCCCGATGTCGCAGAGGAAACAAAACAATACTTCTCCCGCCGCAAGTCCGAAGGACGCCTGCCAGGCCTGGGCTCCAAGGCCGCTGTCTGCACAGCCTCCCTCGCACCCCGAGCCCCGCCGCGACTCAGGAAGCGCCCGGTGACCGCGAGGGCCCGCCGAGGCCCGCGGCACCGCGTGACCTTGGATCCAGCGCCGCGCTCCGGGCCTCAGTTTCCCCGTCCCGGCCTCGCGCCCGTGGAGCCGCAGGACCCTCACACGCCCCCCTCAGCAGCCTGCCTTCCACCCCGCTTACGTTGGAAGGCGGCCGCTCCGGGGACACCCACCATCGCCGAGCACAGCTGCAGTGCAAACGCCGCCCGCCTTGACCGGCCGCCGTAGCCCTCAGCAGGCTCGACCGGGAGACCTGCACCCCCGGATTCCGCCAGAGCCGCAGGGGCCGCCGTTAGGCCGCACCGCACCGCCCCCCAGCCGCCCCGCCCCGCACGCTGGGCACGCCCCTGCCGCGCGCTCCCGCCAGCCAAACAAGCACGCGGAAGCCCGGCCTGACCGCGCTCAGGGGAAGCCCCGCCCCCAACCTGACCCGCCCCTTCCGTTCAGACAGGCGCCCTATCTTGGAGCTTCCTGCACCTCACACCCGCCTCCCCCGCTGTCAGCGCAGCTGTCAGGAGTACAGCTCTGCTCTCAGCTCTGCACTTCCGGCCGCGGATGGGGCGGTGACCCAGAGGGGGGCGGAGTCCAGGGCGTGGTTTCGCGGGAAGGACAAAGCCTTGCCTGAACTCTCCAGGTGCTGGCTTGATTTTGCAGTAGTCTTTGGTAGCATGTCACTCTTCCCCTGTTTGCTTTTGATCTGTTCACTTAGCTATTTTTACATTGTTATATGTGCGAATCTGTGCGTGGACGAGCGTAAGCCAAGGGAGTTCTCTCCTTCCACCTGTGGGTCCAAGCAAAGGCTTGACAGCAAGTGCCTTACCTGCTGAGCCATCTCACAGGCCCTTCTTTCCCTTTTTGGACTGTAACTTTCTAAATGTTTAAAATATATGGATAACTATTATCTATCATTGATTTTTTTCTTTACTATATGTATTTTTTTCTCTCTCTTTTTTTAAAGGTCTTTGGGACACAGTCTCTCTGTAGCCCCAGCTGTCCTGGAACTCGCTATGTAGACCAGGCTGGCCTCGATTTCACAGAGATCCGGGATTCACCTGCCTCTGCCTCCCCAGTGTGAGCAGCCAGTGCTCTTAACTGGTGAACCATTTCTCCAGCCCCAGTTTTTTGGGTTTTTTTTTTAAATAGGAGCCGGGCGTGGTGATGCATGCCTTTTATCCCAGCACTGGGGAGGCAAAGACAGGTGGTTCTCTGAGTTCAAGGCCAGCCTGGTCTACATAATGAGTTCCAGGACAGCTGGGGCTACAGGGAGACCCTGTCTCAAAAAGATTTAAAAAAAACTAGGTCTCACTATAGCCCTGGCTGATCTAGAACTCATGTATATAGACCAGGCTGACCTTGAACCTGCAGTCATTCTGCCTCTGCCTCCCAAGTGCTGGGTTTACAGCACCACCACCATGCATGGCAAATTTTTGGTTTTTTTTCTTTGTTTGTTTTGTTTTTGAGAAAGGATCTTACTATGTAGCTCTGGCTGGCCTGGAACTCATAATATAGTGCAAGCTGATCCAGATAATTCAGCAGTCCTGCCTCAGCTGTCCAAGTGCCAAGATTATTTTAAGCATGAACCACTAGCCTGACTACAATGGCTTTTTGTACAAGCTATCTGCAATTATTCTTCACAATGTGGAGTAAAGATATTATTTCCCCATTTCTACAAATTAGGAAAAGGCTGGCCCACTGGTTTGCCCAACCATTGCTGTAGGCAAAATCAAAACATAAGTGTCATAGGACCCAAAGAACTTCTGACTTTAGGATCAGTACTTTGAGTTACTCCAAACTGTTCTGCCTCTCAAAGACTCAAAAACAGGAATCAGAACTACAGTGAAGCTGGCCTAGTATGGCGGCACACTTCTGTAATCCC